GGGGGGGGGGGTGAAGAGAGGGGGAAGGGCAGAGTGGAAAAGTACTGAGTCTGAGTCAGCGCAAAGTCTCCCCACGGCTTCCAGTGAGGAGGTCTTGGCAAGGAAAGCTGGGGAGGCTTCGGTTGACGGCCCCCAATAAAGAGGCCTCGCATGGAGGCACCGGGCCAGGAATGCAGCTCTGCATCAGAGCTCAGTCAACCAGGGCCCTGCCTCTTTCACTGCAACTCCCCTCAGAGACTGCAGAGCCCTGGCTGTGCCCCCAGCCTGGTGGGGAGAGGGCAGTGTCCCCCCGTGGGGCCCGCCATGTAAAACCTCTGTAACGGCCCATGGCTGGGCCTGAAAGATCACACATTGGTTTGTGCCAGGAGCTGTACTCCTCACAATTAAGTGCCAGGTCTTTGGAGCCAGCCAGCTTCTTACTTACTGGCTGTGTGCCCTGACATGGGTTCATTTAATTTCCCCAAGCCTTGGCTTCCTCCTCTAGAAATCCTTCTCTAATGAGGTCGATGTGAGAAGTTAACAAGTTAGTGCCTATAGAACACTTAGCGTAGTGCTTGGCACATAGTAGGTGCTCAATAATGGTAACTGCTTGTTTCAGTGAGCTGTGTAACAAGCCACTCCAAAACTTAGAGGCTTGAAACAATAATCATTTATTTTGCAGTTTGACCAAGGCTCAGAAGGAACAGCTTGTCTCTGTTTCTCAGAGTATCAACAGGGATCCACTGAGGGATCCACTTCCAAGATGGCTCACTTCCATGTCTTGCAAATGAATGCTGGATGTGGACTGGGCACTCAGCTGGGACTGTCATCTGGGGCCAGGCACCTCGGTTCTCTACTTGCGCCTCTCCATGCAGCTGCTTGGGCTCCCTCACAGCATGGCGTCTGGGGTTCTGAGAACGAGGAATTTTAAATTGCCATTTCTCTTAAAGGTTGGGCTTAGATCTGAGACATCACTTTGTCATTTTCTCTTGGTCATGGGGTCTCAGGCCAGCCCAGATTCAAGGGGACAGAGGAATAGACTTAGGATGAAGGCGTGGCTTGTGCATATAAAGAGAAGAGGAACTGATGGTGGCCATCTTTGGAAACACGTTAACATGCTGCTTTTATTATCAGTTGGGGTCAGGATTCCAGACCCATGAAAGACAGCCTCTCTCCCACATTCCTGGGGGGAGTGAGGACTCCCTCCAGTCCACCAATCAGGAGGCAAGGGAAATTTGGGAACTCCCCTAAATTTTGAAAGAGAACCCATTAAAGCTACTTTCCATTTCCAGTAGCTTTGAGTCAAGATATTGGAAGGAGAAAAACCTTGGCAGGACAGGCCCACTTTGACTCCTTTCATGCAATTGGAAATCTTTGCACATTAGGAAGGGGCCTGGGACCTCTGAGGGGCCCATCCATGCAGATCTGATTGGAAATCTCCCTGGAAAGACCTCCTGACCCCTGGAGAAATTCTAGACAATTGGTAGAAGATGGCAAGGTGGTTACTAAGAGGAACAGGCAGGGACACACCCACTCTTTTGGTTGAAGCTGATGAGCTAAGCTCAGTGTCGGTTTTTATTAAGAAGGGTGTGGTTCCTGAAATGGCCTGTGCAGCATCGAGGCTGTGCTGGAATGTGCCAGTTCTCTGCCAATTCAGGTCACCTTCTCTGCCCCACTTCTTCCCTCAGGGCTCAGCTTGGATGTCACTTCCTTAAGGGGCCCTTCCCAACCGCCTCCAGCCCAGGTAGGCCCTCCCCTGTGTGCACTCTCACAGCTCCCCGAGCAGTATCTCCTTCCCATCCCACACGGACTTGCTTGCTTTTTAACTGATCCCCTCGCTGGGAGCCCCGTGGCTTCGGTGACCTTTAGCTCAGCTCTGTGAAGGCACCATCATTCCCCAGTTGCCCAAGCTGGAAGCCCACTGTCTCACCCCCATATCCACTAGTGGTTAAGGCTCCTGCTCCTGACATTCCTCAGGTCTATCCCCACTCTCCTTCCACCTGGTTACCCACAGCAGCCCCTCACTGGCCTCCAGGCCCTTCTCTGGAAGGTCTTCAGGCCCTGTTCCATCCCTGGAGTGACTTCCCTTATCTCCCAGGGTGAAGTATAAGCTTCTGAACACTTCTGAACGTGACCTGCAGAGGTCCTTCATGCTTCCCACCTTAGACTCCATTCAGCCACACTGAAAGTTTCCTTCCCACTCAAAAAAAAAAAAAAAGAAAGTTTACTTCCTTGTGAATTATATCTCAATAAAACTGGGGACATTTTTCGAAAAAGAGTTTACTTAAAAATGTCAGGCTCTCTTCTATCCTCCAAACCTTTGCCTTTGCCGTTCCTCCTACTGAGAACACCTTCCTTTCTCATCACTTTCCTAATGCCTATTAACCCTTCGCGTCCAGCTTGGGCATCACTTCCTCCAGGGAGCCTTCTTGGGTCACACCCTGTGTTTCCTCTCTCACGTGATCACACTCTGTTGCAGTCACATTTAAATGTCTGGGTCCTGCTGGAGGAGGGTTTCTCAGGCTCAGCGTGATGATCATCTGGGGCTGGATCCTTGTTGTGGGGGCAGCTGTAGCATGTTTAGCAGCGTCCCTGACCTCTCTACACTGGGTGCCAGTAACACCGCCCCC